TGTAAAATGCAATGTATTTAGGTCATTTAAGTGCCCATATTCTACATTTTTCTTGTATTTTAGGTCCATTTATAATGTTTGTGCAATTTTATGTACCAAAAACAGTCAGTTCAATTTTACATACGTTTTCAATCTCTCTTACAATTACAATTCTCTTACAATTAAACAGACTGTTTTTCCTACTGTGCCATTAAGACATATATGCAAATGACCTCTGTTCTAATTGGCCTTTATCGTGTCCTAATCAACAGTGAATTTCCATTTATGGACTATATTAACTGGAGAGTGAATAGTAACCTTTGAAACTTTAACAGTGTTTCTGCACTATATCAAATGTATTGGCAATATTAAATGATTTTTATTTTAAGGAGTAAAAAATGGATTAAATACTGTATTAAGTACTGGTGCTCAAAACCTTGTCCTTGCCTAGCAGAACTGTATCCAAACCCAATTTCAATCAGCTTGCCATACTTTCAGCTGCTTTGATTGGGTCATTTACTGTATTGGCTCTGAACAATATTAAACTTTACTATTTGTTTTACTGTACCATTCTTAATTCATATTTTTCTTGTTTCGTTTATATTAGAAGATTTGCTAAAAGCTGTTAGGGCATCAATAACTTTGAGGAGGCCTGTAAATAAACATGTCAGTGAGGCCTCTTTTTTCCCAGCCTCTCACTGGGAGTGACACCCAGGAGCAGACATGCTGCTACCAGCTTACAGCAAGGCCCAACTACTCACTCACTCTCCTCTCACCCAGAAATACCTGCCCCTCTTTCTTCCACTCACGCACCAACACGCACTTGCATTCATGGCGTCACCCCAAGCCCACAGAGGCAGCGTCCAAAAGCAGGTGCAAGCCCAGTGAGTCAGGCACAGAGTGCCCATAGGCATAATTCACCCTCTCCATAAACAACGCAAACATGGGAGCTGGAAGAGCAGTTTCAAGATATAGTCTTCACTGCAGGTTACAAATGATTACCGTCATAAGAAAACTTTGTATCTCCAAAACTGTAACTTTGTAGGCAATAGTGAAACAAACTTAACATCTGTTAATGAAAGTAATTTTGGAAGATTGTCCAAAATTGGCAAGATGAAACGTGGAAGATTTTTTTGGTCTGTTTGTCATGATGTGGTTATACAATCTAAACAGCAGCTAGTACTTAAAACTGTGCAAAACAGTCAAACACAGACAAAAGAATGACAGCTATAAAATGCCAAACCAGAGAAATTCAGAAGTTTGTTAAGTTGTTTTGAGTCAACTGAAAGACATACGACTGCTTCAGTACTACACACTGTTTAATTATTGACTTTATATATGCTAAAATGGAAGGTAACAATATTAGCACATTCAGTGCCCAAACTCACTACAAAACAAGACTCCTCGAAAGTTACTGATATGTACCATACTATCGGAACTTCAGAATGGTTCCAACCCCAGCACATGTACATTTAAATTATCTGCATTTTAGGGCAGTTACAGATTATATATCAAAGGCTAGTCAAAATATTCTGCTTCTCCTCATTTCTACAAACAGTTTCAATGTACAGTTGGTCACCTAGAGTGCTTTTCATATTGTTTGTTGCAAATCTCGCCTCTTGACCAGATTGCAATGACTTTCCTCAATTGTTAGCTTTTACAAATCATAAACAGTATGTGAATTGGCTGTGTTTTCATCTGTTGTGTTGAAGAAAATGCAAGCAAATAAAGGAAAGCAGAAAATGAATTTACTAAGAAAATGGCAAGCGACTTATAAAAACAAGCAAAGTTTGAACTTTTTACTTGTGCTATAACATTTAGAGGGTAGCAGTGAGTAATGTCTATTTGAGCTCAAGCTGTTTCTATTGTCAGCAGGGAGCTACAAAGTATCAACATCTAGGAAGCAAGATAACTAATCAGCCAACATGGCCACTTTAGATTTGTATAGTAATAGTTGTACACAAATGAACAAAAAAGATAAACTGTTATTGCAATTAATTGTCAGCTAAAACTCATGCTCATGACAGGCCTTGTTCTGACATTCTACAATTTTCAGTATTCCATTAAATTATTAGAATCTGGGTGTGTATACTTTCTAAAGGCATTCTAAAAGAGCCATATGATTGTCTGGAAGAAGAAAGTCTAAGGTAAAATTACCAAAGCCAGTGGAGCAAGGTCCCTGGAGCCCACAGCACACGACTAGGCTTTATTCATAAGTAAAGTGTGTTTTAAACTCTGAGACTGGGCTAAATCAATTGGAACACAGGCAGAGCTACTGCAGCCCAAAGGCAAGACAAAGTATTTCCCCTTGGTGAAGTATGCAAGGAGAAACTGATTTTACTGGTTAATCTTTACTTGGCTCCCTGGTGATAAACTGCAATTCATATCAGACGCAAGAGTCTGGGTGAACTACCATTATCGTGCCACAAAACAGGCAGAAAAGTTAAGTCTCTAGTGTTTTTCTCAGACAGTGAAAGGAGACCCTAAACACCCTGGAGAGTGTGTGTGTGTGGTGTATTCAGCACTAGGTCTAAAAAGGTCTTGGAGGAAAATCTGATATACACAATGAACGAAAATAGAAACTAAAGCGAAACATGTGATAAAAAACATTTAAATTTAGGGATGGCATGATACGTTTACTGGAACGTGCACTGAAAATGAAACTCTGAGAATTGGCCAATATCAGTCCGATATGTTTTTCTTTAAAAACCAATAAGCTTTAAAATTAGCTGTTTCTAATTCTCTTCACCCAAGAAGAGAATCTAAAAGTGGGCTAGTCTTGTGGGGCCACAAATTCTTGTAATGAGAATACATATCTGGGGACAACTTGTTAAATATTTAGTGCTGGACTTTGGCAAAACATGGGTATGCATATGTCTAAAACCCCAAAAAGCCCCCAAATTCCTCTACTCCATGCTCTTTTAACATCTGTATTAGTACTATCAATAACACAAGCAAAGAGACATAGTTAGCAAAGTGTAAGATAAAGGGAACCGTTTTTCCCTTGCAGGAGGCAATGTTTATTTTGTGACAGACATCTACATGCTTGATTAGAGGCGAGCAACAGGCATTACCAGGGCACCACTGCCTCCAACTTTGAGCTCCATCATCACAAGGCATTGGATTGGTTTAGAAATTTCACTCTCAGTTTGTTCCCACCCTAGCAAGCCTACATTCCCACTCACACTTAGCTCAAATATTTTCATGGTTGTTTCTCATGCTCTTATTACATCAATCATTGCGAGACTAAAAGGCCATCATGTTCAAACTACTCAAACACTCTACGACCCCACAGGAGAAACTGGACCAGATTCACCTCCCCCCCCTCCAATATCCAAAATCCAGCATTTTCTGCTAACATTGGCCTGATACCCGTAATCGGAAAAAGTGCCAACCCTACTTAAAATCCACTTGTAAACAACCAGCAAATACCTAAATTTGTTAAAAAGACAATGACTAGGTTGAACAAACAAGTTGTAAATCAATTAAACCAGTTGCACATACAAAAAACTTAAAAGCGCAAATTAAATCTAGATTTGTCTTTCCTTTTACTAATTGAATGTGGTGAAAAATTGGCTAATTGTGGATTGACAAGCCATAGATTACCCCAAAACCCAGTGTGGCATGATCCTTGTAGGTGAGGCTATACACCTATCAATATCCATATTGAACAGGTTTCTCTGCTAACCAAACACGGACCTCTAAACGTCTCATGTTTGCTCAATACTTGACAGAAAACCATCACTGAAGTCCACAACAAAAGCCTGCCGCATCTTCAAGCTTGCTCCAACCTGAACGCCAGGGTTGTTGAGTTGAGCAGAAAGTCTAATCTCAAGCTTAAATCTCTCTCTGCAGGGCTGGTCGATAATGACAGGGTTTCAATTATGAAACAGTGGGGGGTGGGGACAGGTCTAGTGAGTGCAAACAAATGCTCTCAACAGTGAGGTTGAGAAACACGTTTGGCAACATATGCCTTTTGTCAAAACATACCTGCGCTCTTCACAAGGAACTAGAGACCGTACACATCCTGGTTGTTCGAGCACACCTGATCTGGATACAGTTCAGCACAATAACTCCACTGGCAGGTTTACACCTCTCCCTCTCCCTCACTTACTTGGTCTATTCGTCCATCCCCCAATCGCTCTCTCTTTCTCCCCTCAAGCCAGTGACATTTACAGCAGCTAGGGAGGTGCGTTCCCAGGTAAACATTCCGTCTTCCAGGTGTCGGCAGAGCACACCAGACTAAAACATGACCGGGCCTGCAACTTTCCACCTTATCCAAGAGCCTACCTGCCTTTGCCCTCTCGAACAAACGTTAAACAAGGCACAAACAATTTAGACAAAAGTGAATCCTATGAGGAAGGTGTTTATGTGCATATGTCATATGAAGAACACAATAAGGGTCATTTGAGAATGGAAGACCCTGCGCTTAGCATTTTGTTTGAAGGCGTCACCAAATCTGGCACCTGTCTGTTGGCAAGACAGATCAAACAGAACAGTCCTGGACACCTGAAACCTCAAGAGCTTTTCAAACAGGACAGGCAAACCTACTGGCATATAGTTTGTCTTTCATGAATAAAACACTTTCAGATAACAGAATAATTCCTGATGTTTTGACACCGCTGTAAACAATAAACAAATGAATAAAGAAAACTGCCTTAACACAAATCCCAAAAAAGTAGAACTGTATTAGGTATGGCAAACCTTTCTTCTGAGGTCAAGCATCATGGTTATGCTACATTATGACCTTCCAATGACTATTGCTCAGGTGTGCCCACAACATGATTAATCATCTAAACTATCCACAGCCTGAAATGATCAGATGTTGCAGCATGTTAAAAATGACAACAGTGCCTAGAACCAGCCTGAAAAACAAAGTAAATTCATTTTCTTCTTTTGGACTGAGTTATTAGAGTCAATACTATTACAGAGGCAGCACAATGTTCTGAGCAGAGCAGCCTGAGTCACAGTAAGCTTGGCTGATTTATAGGCCTTACACCATGAGTTCAAATGCTCCTCACCTGTTGCAGAACTGTGTCCAGAGGTTCTGCTTTGCAAAGCTCCTCTACACTCAGTCCAGTCTCTTCTTTACATTGGTCCGTCAGCTCTAACGTGTCTGGTTTAATCAGTTGTTGCTGAATCTTCCCCACCTGTCGAGAAAAGCAGCTTTTTTGTAACAGTCAACAGCTCATTTTCTGGCGTGACGAGAAGCAGCCTAGTCTACCTGTGGCCGTAAACCCTCTGAACACTCCCGGCCATATTCAGCTTGTATCAAAACACTGTGGTCTGAATAAGGTGGAGCGCCGGGCGATATATCATCTATACCATTATACCGCGATACTGCATTTCAGATTGGAAACGTTTTTAGGTTTTAATTCTATTCTGTGAACTCTACTCATGGTATCCAGGTCCTGACAGTTAAATGCAAATGTATATTATTTGATAGCTGCCTCAGACAGTCTTGACAGTTCGAAATCTATAAAAAAATGAAATAAACAATAAGTTTCCCTATTGGAAATGTTTACGATTCCTGTTAGTATAATTGTAAGAGATGAAATCAGACCAAAACAGTCCAAAGCAAGCTGGCAGGCATGTAAAACATTCTATTAGCATAGAGTAGCAGTTCTCCAGAAGCATTTTTTTAAACTTTATTATACTTAAGTGGATCAATATCGCCCAGCACTAGCTTTAACCCAACCCTCTGAACACACCAGGCCACACTGAGCTCGAATAAAAACCCTCATATCTTAACAAGATGTTCAGCTGCAAAGCAGTTAGCTCTACACATTCAGGCTTTAGCCTCCTGACCTCACGGCGCTGACATTTTACCACAAAAACACGCTCTGCACACAAAAAGTCCGCTCAATTTTTAAAACTTAACACCAAAACTGCCTAGTACAGTTCCAGCTCGATGTATATGTGAGTACACCTATGCTAACAAGCTAAGAGGCCTGTATAAACACCTGAAAGCGTGTCTTGTTGATGAATGCCAGCTGTCAAGGCAGGACGGCTTACGAGACTGAAGTCAGCTTCCTAGTCGAATTTCCCCGTTCCACCTTAAACGTGCAGCAATTACATTCTCACGCGCCACTATGTAACTGCTGTAGCTAGCATATAAGGTGGAACGGAAAAATTAGAAAAGGAGGCTGATTTCAGCTTCGCGAACGGCTTTAACTACAACCGTTTGTACGTGTGTGAGAGAGAGAGACAGATAGAGAGTTTCGACCTTACAACCTTACAACGAGTGAAAAGGTCCGTACCTTCTTCTCATGTAGGTCCACAATTTGCCACACCAACAGAATTATTTCCCTCTCATCCGAACCCAGTTTACCCCCATTTGCACCAGCTGTTGCCCCAAAGAACACCACCAGAGTATCACTGTGCGAAGCCATCAGGGACCACAAGGGTAAAAACTACAATTAAGAGCAAAGATCAAAAAAAAAAAAAGGAAAAAAGAACACACACAGTAACACGAGGGTTCACCTTTTCTCCAAAGTGATAAGAGAAGCAAACAAAAGGTCTGGAAATTCAATAATGGTAGGCGAAGTGGGAGAAAGAGGATTATTTCAGGAGAAGGACACGGCAGAGAGTGCGGCCGGAGACTCTACCTGCTGAGGGTTTTCTATCCAGAGTTACTGGTTGGACTGGTAAGGAAGGGTGGAAAACAGCCTGGTTTCTCTCACGCTAACCCCATAACAAGCCCTCAAGCCTTTTCTCTCTACCTCTTCTCTTTTTTTCTCGGTTACCTGGCTCTGGCTCGGCCTCCTTGCTTGAAGTCGAGCTCCCAGGGGAGACCGGGGATTGGCTGAAGGCAAAAGGTGAGGGCGGGGCAAAGTGGCACAACACCTATGAAACCCAATATGATTGGTCTGTTATGAGCCGAGGAAGTAGCTGTGGAGAAGAATCCATTTTCTCCTGTTTGCTCACCTTTACAGCAGTGCGTGTCCTCCAAGCTCTCTAGTCTGGAGACTAATAATGAAACCGTAAAAAGCGTTGTGAGAAGAGCGAATTGAAATTTATTTATTTATTACAGCAATTAAGAAGAACAGAACTCTGTTCTTCCATGAACAGAATTTCATGAAAAGAGACTGTACTCTATTCCCAAAGCTCACTTCCTCATTCTTAGATAATGCACTAAGCCCCAGGACTTGGGAAAGAGCTTCAGGTGTAAAACAGCCCAATCAAAGACTATCACTACTGAAAATGACCACATGTAGATATTATGTTTATGAATATAGTATTTACAAACATTACATATATGGTTTAGACTGAGGATGCACTGAGATTGAATTTATGAGATGTTACAGTATCCAGTACTTAACATGTTATTGTGGCTGACATCAATATAAGTAATAATTTAAATAATAATTTAAATAATAATAATTAATAATAAAAAAAAATATATATATATATATATATATGTGTGTGTGTGTGTGTGTGTGTGTTTGTGTGTGTGTGTATTCTATAATTCTACTTATATTTTTGTTAATGTATATGGACATATGTGTACATATAATGTTTATACACTATATAGAGAAAAGTATCCGGACACACCTCCTAATTATTGAGTTCAAGTGTTTCAGTTGCACCCATCGCTAACAGGTCGATAAAATTAAGCACATAAACAAACACTGGCAGTAGTATGGGTCGTACTGATGAGCTCGGTGTCTTTAAACCACTCGGTGTCTTTAAACCACTTTAAACCACAAGTCAGTTTCTGAAATTTCTGTCCTGCTACAGCTGCCCCTGTCAACTGTAAGTGCTATTGTTGTGAAATGGAAGCACCTTGGAGCAACAACAGCTCAGCCACGGAGCAGTAGACCACACAAACTTACAAAGCAAGACGGGCGAGTGCTGAGGCGCACAGTGCCTATCCTCCATTGAATCACTCACTAAAAAGTTCCAAATTGCCTCTGGATGCAGCATCAACAAAATAATTGTGCATCAGGAGCTTCTCGAAATGGGTTTCCATGGCCAAGCAGCTACACACAAGCCCAAGATCCAAATGCACAATGCCAACTGGGGGCGGGAGGGGTGTTGCCTCTGGGTTTGGTGAATGCCAGGAGAACTTTACCTGCCTCACTGCATTGTGCCAAGTGTAAAGTTTGGTAGAGGAGGGATGATGCTATGGGGTTGTTTTTCAGGGGTTGGCCTAGGCTGCTTAGTTACAGTGAAGGGATATCCTAATGCTTCAGCAGACCGAGACATCTTGGACAATTCTATGCTTACAACTTTGTGGGAACAGTTTGGGGAAGACCCTTTTCTGTTCCAGCTTGACTGTGCCCCAGTGCACAAAGCAAGGTCCATAAAGGCATGGTTGAGTGAGTTTGGTGTGGAAGGACTTGATTGGCCCACACAGAGGCCTGACCTCAACCCTATTGAACACCTTTGGGATGAACAAGAACAAAATTTTGTAGAAAGCTTCCCAGACAAAGGGTCATTTCATAATTCTAACCTGCTATAGTCTATACTTAAAGCCCATAATATATCAACATCCAAACTTTAACAGGCATGACAGTGTTTCTCTTTAAAACTTTTTTGTGCTATCACTCAATGCCGGTTCTACCTAATAAGAGGCATAAGCAGGTGCCTAAGCAAAAGTTCTTACAATATTAAGAGTTATTACAGTACCATTACATTGTCTAAGATGCTTGAGTGAGGAGAAAAAACAACTAGTTAATCAAGTCTTAAAAAGAACAGATGCACCTGGTGTTTAAAACTGGAAAAGAAAAAGATGAGAAGGAAAAGCTTAATAGAAAATGTATGTTTTTTGTGGTGTTATGTTATTGTTTTCAGCTTTTAGCTAAAAAATAGTCTATCTAGATAAAGAATACTAAGATGATCTGTAATTTAAATTGTTACTTATTAGAATGCCAAGTTATTCATTTATTTATCTTAATACATAATTCAGACAGCTAGTCATTGTTACATCAGCTAAGAGAATCATTAAAAAATGTTGTGACATTAGCCAATGCACTACATTAGCTAACCTAACCAAGATCATAAAAAATTTGTTAAATTGACTGATATTTTTACAATTAATTGTTCCTATACTGTTCCAATAAGGAGCCCCAAAAATCCTAATTAGGGCGGCTATCACAGTTTTGAAACATTTTGTGTCAGGCCACAAGAACAACCTGTGACTTAGATTGGGTAATTAAACCTTATCTTTGTGTTAAAAATCTGAACATATTGTCTGTGTGAAATAACACACTTATTGTATGTGTAGGTAACTGGACTGGGTGTTGTTTTTAACATATCTCCTTAGAGAGCGTGTGAAAAGCTTCCAGACAAAAAAATGAGAGCAGAGGAAGAGTGAGGCACTGTAGAGAGGCGCTGGTTCAGAAAACCAGAACTCAGAACACATGTCTGGTGTTACCGAGGTGATGTTTTGAAACTCTCTGTGGTAAAAATATTCTTCCTTTGCCGTTCTCCCATAAAGGCTGTTGTTGATTACCATGGTGATTGTGAACTCATAAACACCAAGTGCAGCATCAGCAGCTGACTTCCTCTCTACTCACAGTCACAGCTGGTCTCACAGAGGTTTGCCTAACAGGCTTCCTCCAAGTCTGGACACTTGGTTTGGAGTGATGGCACGAGGCGGGTTGGAGAGGCTTTCGTTCTTTTTTCCCCATATGTATCGCTTTTGCCTTTTGTACTCTTACCCACATTCCCAGACAGGAGGATAGATTTAATTCATTTAAAATTACAAATATCAGACAAAATTTGAAATAACTGATCATGATGAAGATAATTGATATGTCATGAATGAATAATAATAATAATAATAATAATAATAATAACAGATAGACAGACAGACAGACAGACAGACAGATAGATAGATACATAGACAGATAAATACATAGATAGATAGATAGATAGATAGATAGATCAGATATCAGATGAGAAAAAAATAATCAGATCTGTAACAAATCTAGCTATAAATAGTACTGCACAAAAAGTCAGAGACCACCCTTCATTTATTAATTTAATTTCCCTCAATTTCCACCTAATTTCACCCAAATCACAATTTAAATACATTGGTAACCTTTAAATATAAATGTTTAAATATTTAAAGATAATCCACTTGCATAAGGAAGGGGAAAGCCAAAGACACCCTAAAAAAAAGAAAAAAATTAAAAGACACAGAGACTAAGCAAGACCTAAGCAAGAACGGACAGAAATGGCAGAACAAAGGCCTGTCCACCCAGAGTCCAGACCTCAACATCAACAAATGTCTTTGGGACTTGGATTGTGAGAGGCAGAAAATAAAACCAACTTCTTAGACCGAACTTTGGAGGTGTAGAAAAATTTCCCTGTAGATTAATTTGAATTTTGCTCAGCCAACAATAACCTGTTGCTAACATTAGCTAAAGTTACAGTGGCAAATGGGCCTTTATTTACATTTACTCACATTTACTCACATTCTTTCTCTCCTTCATTCACACATTCAGACATACAGTGCATACAGTGGAAAGGCTGGAGGGTCTTCATTAATTGATTTGTGTTGACACAGACAAGCTGGCTGGTTCTCTCTCACTAATTCTGCTAACTGTATGATGAGGGACCTCCTCAAGTTTTAGTAAAGGAAAACCGCTAAATATGGATCATCAGGTTTAACCACTCTCAGAATGAAAAGAGAAAATGTGCATTTATAATCAGACCAACAATACACAAGAGTGAAAACATGCTTGCACCTTATTTTATTAACCACTCAGGCCTAGCAAAAAAAGGATGGTGACTAATATCTATCTACAGTGCTGCTTGAAAGTTTGTGAACACTTTAGCAGTTTGACCTAAAATATGATCAGACCTTCATTTAGGTCATAACAGTAGATAAAGAGAACCCAATAAAACAAATAACACAAACAATTATATAGTTTATCATTCAGTTATTGAATTTAGTGATCCAACATTATATATTTTGCTTGGCAAAAGTATATGAATCTCTGGAATTATTAGTTTGGTATAGGGGATAATTAGGGTCAGAATGTTCAATCAACTGGATGACAATCAGGGGTGAGTGTTGCTACCCTATTTTAAAAAAAACATCAACCTGCATCTTTACCATCAAAGTCAGGTCTTTACCACACACATTTGTTAGTGCATGCCATGTCTCAGTCAAATGAGATTTCTAATGACCCCAGTAATAAAAATAATTCTAATGACCCCAGTAATAAAAATAATTTTCATTAGGCTGAAAGAGGTTCCAAACCTATTTCTAAAGAGCTTGGACTTCACCGATCCACTGTCAGACAGACAGTGTACAAATGGTGGAAATTTAACACCACTGTCACCCTTCCCAGGAGCGGTCATCCAAAAACATTACACCAATAGTATGGTGTATAATGTTCTGGGAGATCACAAAGAACCCCAGGGTAACATCTAAGGATCTGCAGTCCTCTTATACTGGCTAATGTCAATGTTAATGCTGGATGAGCCAGAAGACTACTGAATATTGTTATGTAAACTAATAAGGCACCATTAGACCTTTATGGCTTAAATGAGAAATGTTATGTTTGTCAAAAGCCAAACACTGCAATCCAGCACAAGAACCTCAACCCACCTATGAAACAGGGTGGTGGCAGTATCATGGTTTTGCTGCTATTGGATTAGGACTGCTTGTTATCATTTGATGAAGCTATGAATTCTGGATTGTGTCAAGAAGTCCAGACCCTAATCCAACAGAAATGCTGTTGCAGAACCTATGAAGTGGCCTTCATGCAAGAAAGCCCACCAACATAACTGAGCTGAAGCAGTTTTGTAAGGAGGAATGGCCTAGATTCTTCCAAGTCAATGTGCAGGGCTGATTAGCAGTTACAGGAACCATTTGGTTGAAGTCATTTCAGCTCAAGGCAGGGTCACACCAGTTACTCTAAGAGGTAACCGAGGTTCACATACTTTTCCCAACTAAGATTTTAATAAGGGATCACTTTTTTCAATAAATAAATGAAAAACTATATAATTGTGTTCTTTGTTTTATTGGGTTCTCTTTAACTATTGTTATGACTTAAGATCCGATCACATTTTAAGTCACATTTATGTAGAAATTCAGATACTGCTAAGGGGTTCACAAACTTTCAAGAAGCACTATACACACTTTAAGTTAGCTCAGAGGTATTATGTTTTTTTTTCTGATTAAATCAGGGCACTTGTCTTGGTACAAAAGCAAAAATCAGTTCCCTCACAGCAAAAATAAGTTACACAAAGCAGTATGCAATTCCTCTTTTCTCACTCATACGTAAGACACAAAACACATACCCATTGCAAAACAGAGCTGATGTTGAAAAACTGAAACACCCTGACGACTGAAGACAGTGGTAACATGCAGACAAAGACTGGGTTCTTTGTCTGCATGTTACCACTTTCTTCAGTCGTCAGGGTGTTTTCTCAGAATTAGAATTAGAGCTGATGGAACAATTTACCTACAGTTCTGTGCGAAAGTCAGAGACCACGCTTCATTTATTTAATTTCCAGGCAGTCAAAACAGCCATAAAGTTATTAATTTTTCAGGAAATATTTCTGAAGAGATATGAGATAATCCACCTGCGTAATGAAGAAAAAAATAAGTGAAAAAAAAACAGAGTTTCCAAAACTGGTGTAAAAAATATTAAAAGTTTTAGAGAAAATGGGACTCTTAACAGACCTGGTAGACCACCAAAACTATCACTATCAGATAAACAGCACTTAAAGCTTTCATCCTTGAGAGAGAGGAGAAAATCAAGCTCCACTCTTGCTTCAGATCTGAAAAAATCCACAGGTGTTTCTGTCCATCCTTCCGCTGTGAGAAGACAATTCAACACTATGAGTGTGAAAGAATGTGTAGCTGTCAAGAAAATGTTAAAAGCTGTTTAAAAATTAAAAATAAAACATTTGCACATCAAACTCAGAAGCTACTGGTGTTCTCAGAACAATTAACTGACCACCCCAGAGTCCAGACCTCAACATCACTGAATGTATTTGGATTACTTGGATTGTGCAAAGCAGAAGTTCTAAGACTGAACTTTGGATGACAGCAGGTCTCTAGAAAATAATAGAAGCTGTAATAAGGGCAAAAATGAATAAACTAAATGCTGATAAATAGATAGCAAATTTAGTTTTTAAATGACATGAAAAACCTGAATCAACAAGTGAGGAAATATAACCCCTAGGCGGATGTAGTGTGTAATACAATTAAGCAATTTACCTTCTGCTCTGTGGCACATACAAAATGCTCCCAGTTTACCTCAATTTTAGATCAAGCAAGCAAAAGGAAAACATCTAGCTGACTTTGAAATATGATTCATTATTGGGGCAAGGATGATAGAAACTTCAACAACAAAGACTGCTCAACCAAGGGGAACTGTGACTAAAGTCACATCTGCATTTAGATCTCTGGGAAAGTCATGAGTACATACAGCTGGAAATAGTTGGGTTGTTTAACTGTGATATTGTTATAGTGATGAATTACACACTGCACTTCTCTGAGCTTCTTCCAGACACCATCAGTGCTTAAAGAACACTGACCAACTGTATGTTTCTTTACATAGAGAGCATAATTAACAAAAATCACTGTACTCATGGTTTTTGACAGTTTTTTTAAAAGTGTCATTACTAGTTTGTTTTTTTTGTCTGTTCCAACTTATCAAACTTCAGAAAAACAAAATATTGTGCTATATGCTGTGTATCGGGAAAATGTTGTGAACTATCATGATATGGTGCCATTTCACCCAGCCCTGGTTGAAAACTGTGGTTGAAAAAACACATTCAATGACACTTGGGATATTAAAGAGGGGAATATTATAGTAAGGTTGGAGTGAATAAATCCCTTGTTACGAAGAGGAATGCACATTTGAGGGTTTAGTGGTGTAAAACCCAAAGATGTGGAAGAAATGATATGGTCAGATGACAATACCATGATAACCTCCACAAATGGGCAAGTGCATGTGTGGCATAGAACACGAGAATGGTACAGACCTGAATGTGTGACTGATAAATTGAGGATGTCTAGCAGGGGGTATTTTGCCAGCATAGTTTGGTCCACTTGTAACTTTAGATGGAAATGTCACTGCAAATCATTATAAAGTTATAATGACTGATCACCTTTTTTCCTTGATGAAACATATCTATCCTGATGTGGGTGGTCTCTTCCCATCCTCACTGTATGAGGGGTCACTGGATGGTTTAATGAGTATAAAAATTATGTAAATCATATGCTATGGCCTTCACAGTCACCAGATCTCAACACACCTATGGGAAATTTTAGACTGATGTGTTAGACAGCACTCCCCACCACCTTCATGAAAGACAATTAAGGCAGCATCATTTTAAAGAATGGCATTCCAACCCTCCAGGAGACACACAAAAGCTGTTCTGGCAGGTTGTGGTGACCCAACACCTTACTAAATCAATTTGTGTTGGTTTTTCCTTTCATTTCTCACCCACCTGTATATGATGCCTACATAACAAAAAACATTTTTCTCAACACTCCTTGATGAGTAAAGAAGATGCTTGAAAGAATTAAGATTTAACACACATTAATGTAAGGATTTTCGCTTTAATTGCATTTACAGAGGTAGGCTATACTGAGACAAAGATATCAATAATCAATGAAACAAAACGTTGAAATATAATACAGTACATTAACACTGACTGAACACTTGTAATGGAACATAGAACAAAGTTCTGAACTCTGCATAACCTTTTTTTCCAGATGAATGACTAAACAACACTGCAGTTCAACAGGCTAAAAACTACTTCCCTAGTAAACAGATGACAACAAAATTATACGGATACTGAATGAAATGCAGATTGAGTCTGCAAATTGATATGCAAAATACCGAAAAAAAATTATACTAGTATTTTATGATTGGAGGATGGAAGCTGATGACGTAAAACATATTTAATCCTGTGATACACATATTTAACATGCTTTTGAAGGCAAAAAAAGGCTATTTTTATTACCCCAATGTATTCCTGGACAGTGGTCAGTGCTTCTCTATGTAAAAAGTCTTTAGTAATACATCCAGAAAAAAACAAGTGTGTGTATTTATATATATATATATATATATATATATATATATATATATATATATATATATATATTATGTAGATATAATAACGTCACTTTTTACTTTAGAAATCATGATTATACTCTATTCAGTCCAACTCAGTACCTTCACGCAAACTCTTGCGTGGCCGCATTGTTGCATATGTCTACTAGCAGATCTATATGTGCTTTGGACTCTGTGCAGCACTGAGAGGTGGTGGTCTGAGAGCTTTGCCGCCTGGACACATATGACAGCTCTTTATTGCCCTCGCCTGTGGCCGTGCTGGACAGGTGACGGAACAGCTTCTGGATGCCCATGTCCCTTAGAGAGCTGCGGAAGTTTCTTGCCGCAAAAACATACAGCACAGGGTTAACAGTGCTGCTGACGAAGACCAGAGCACCTGCCACAATGGTCATGGCTTCCACTGCACTACCGAGGGTTTCTGCTTCCTAGAGGTGGAAAACATGACAATATTATATCACTGTTGTGACAAATTACCGATACTGAGGGTTTCATCAGTTCTTCTTGAACACTGAACAGATGCGTGTATTGTATAAATAATGTATTTAAACCAATTCATTATAATTAATTTAGACTAATTATTATAAAGAACTTGTAAACAACAAGAACCTGTCTAATTAGTAAGGACAACAGATAATTAACTGGATTAAAAATGTCAACCCATTATGCTGGTATCTCATTTTATGAGTTCATTTGTACCAGCTGATCAATTTTTCCTTCTGTTCCTTCTTAAAGGGGAATTCCCCTTTAAGTAGGAACAAGAGTAAAACCTGAACAGTGTTTTTTTAATTGGAAATTAATTTAAGTGGTGAAATTTTCATGTTTTGGTGCGTTAAAGTTTCTTTACAATGCGGTGATCGGAACCAAGTCATGGTGTCCATAATGCAAATATAATTATCATGTAAATTGTACTGACTATCCAAAATGACCAGTCAACCAACACATCTTCAGTTTTTAATGTAATGTTGATTATGGCGAAACAGTAATAAAACTATACCTTTTAGACCAAAATCTAATCTCAAAACTTTGTGAAACAGTGTCACAGGCATTAGACAACATATTCATAACCATTTCATGCAATAACTTACTGAGAGGTAGCTTTTAGAGGTGTTAAATGCTTTGGATTTCTGGTTCCTATCACCAGCGACAATTCCGTCTCTATAAGCTTCTCTAGAATGGTGCATGTCACATTAAACCACTCTGAATGTCTTTGTTTACATCTTAGTGGTTTAATAATGCAGACATTCTGAAAAAAATTCAGTGTAATTCCCAAACAGCCAATGTTTGCAATGCTTTAATTGTAAATGGCTTGTCTGAATGTATCACTATCCACTGCAATGTTTTGGAAACCTCAGAAAAACTAAGAATTGAGACAAAGATCATGTGTTGAAAATGTCTTAGTATCATACTGTAATATTTTGCCATATTGTCTACCCTCACCTGGGAGTCTTCCTGGAGAGTGAGGTGCACCAGAGACAGGAAGTTTCCGATATGATGCGGGATCCAGCAAAGAGCAAACAGCACCACCACACTGGCGATCAGGACCGTGGACTTTTTCTTGGATCGGAGGTTCATCTGTGCAATCCGACTGAAGAGGCAGCCATAGCAGACCACCAGGATGGAGAATGGGATTACAAAGCCCATTAGAGACTCAAAGAGCAGGATCACAGCCTCCTGCATCTCAGATTCATAAGAGCGAAACAGGCACTGCTCTTTCCCCAGATATTTATCCAAAACCTGAGTGACTATCACAGGGATGCTCAGAAGAAATGAAGCCACCCACACAATCAGCAACACTTTACTCAGAGCTTGCTTCCTTCTCCAGCTGGCCGAAGCGAAGGGGTACCGGATGGCCAGGAAGCGCTCCACACTCATGATGGTGATGAGGAAGACGCTGGCATACATGCAAGCATTGATGATGTACACCATGGCCTTGCAGACGGCCTCGCTAAACACCCAGGAATGAGCCAGAGAGTAGATCCACAGAGGCAGAGTGACCAGCACCAGCAAGTCAGCGACAGCTAGGTGCAGAATGAGCAGAACAGTGTGAGAGCGTTGCTTCACGTGCCTCATGATGGTCCAAATCACCAGCAGGTTCCCTGGAACCCCCACAACAAAACACACAGCCAGGATCACGCAGGCCCCCACCATACCAGCATAACTCCCCACCTGCTCCTCCTCATGGTCCCACTTTGTCCCCCCAGAATGGCCACGCGTGCCGTTCATCCTTCTTCCAAAACAACTCCACTGCGTGCGACTCGCTTACACTACTGAGCAGACAGCAATGAAAGCAGGCTGCATAAAGAAAGTAGCACTTCCTCTTTAGAAAGCAAATACAGGAAAGAGGTTCTTTTTCTCAGGAAAGACAGAGCAAGTGACAGAGAGGCGGTGAAATACGAAGCCTGCGGCAAAATCTTTGGCAGTTGTTACTGCAAAATTAGAGCAAAGTCATTTCTGATAAATCTCTATCATGCACTGCGAAAAAATCGAAGTAAGATTTAAAAAAAAAACAAAATGACAAAAGGTATAGTTCTTTGAAGGGGAAAAAAACCCAGGCTATGCTTTCTTTTTTCTCACAAAACACCATCTGTGTCTGGACTGACCACATGATTTTTACTACTTCTTGTTTTTTTGTTTTAAGAAAAGTTCGGAGAATTGAGAACTACTTATAGTTGAGGTGAAAGGCACTGTACAAGTTAGGTTTGATTGATGCTCAGCTGATTTGTTGGAAAAAAAAATCATCAAAAAATGAATTATTAAGAATGCAATTCTTTGGCAAGTGAAATCATCTTAAATCTAGTCAATATATCTAATGTTTATCATTTTAAGATTGTTAAATAATTGTATCTAGAGCAACTATCTTATTCTATTGACAGATCACTTTTCTTGTTTCAAACACTATTTCTCAAAACAAAATTATCTGCCAAAAAAATAAGCCAATTTATAGAATTTATTAGTTAAAAATGTCTTATAATAATACAATAATTATAATCTTATTTTTTTACAACAATCTCATAATGAGAAATATTAGCTATATTGACTAGATTTAAGATGCTTTCACTTGCCAGGATATAATTTAAATGTATATATATTTTTTAATTAAAGTAATTACAATTGAAGGGGATGTAACCAAAGTCTCTCAAAAGGGGTGGCAAGCCTGCATTGTACCTGGTCAATCTGGGGTTCGAAAGGGGAAAAAAGAAGCACACCACTCCACTGAGTCTTATCAAAATCAAAATTATAGCAGTGCCAAAGTCTAAACAGTTCTCAGTATTTGGTGCTGACAAACAGGTGAATTCTGGCAAAATTCAAGTTCAAACTCAGCACACCTCAAACATCTGCTGAAGACTCCTCTTTGTTTGTCCCATTGTCAGAGACGTCTGGGGTCTTGGGCTGTCTCTCTTTTACATGGGTTGAGTGTGATGTCACTTCCTGGAAGAGCCTGGCCATCCTGGATCTCCTTAGACCACCCTGGAAGTTTCTGGCAGCAAAGGCATAGAGAATTGGGTTTACAGAACTGCTGATGAACGCCAGTGCTCCGGAAATGAATACCGCTGCATCTGGCAATCCATTCAAGTGGTCCTTTAGAAGGTGTGCTATGGAAATGATGTTGAGAATGTGGTGGGGCAGCCAGCACAAAGCAAAGGCCGTCACTACGCTACCTATGAGGAAGGCGGACTTCTGCTTAGTCCTGCTTTGTATCTGGGAAAGCTGAGATGCCACCTGGCAGTAGCAGATAGCCAGGATGAAGAACGGGATGACAAAGCCCACCAGCGTCTCTAAACAAAGGCAGAAGACCTCCACAGCCATGGAGCTGAACTCAGTAGAGTGGCAGTGCTGCGTACCGTCTGCACTTTCTTCCATATGCCGGGCAAGAAAGGCTGGAATTCCCAGTATGAGTGCCATGGCCCAGGCACAAGCCAACGTCCAGTACATGATGTTGCTGGTTTTCCACCGCAGCATCTTAAAAGGGAACTTAACAGCCAAGAAGCGCTCCATACTCATGATGGTGATGAGGAAGACGCTGGCATACATGCAGGTATGGATGACATACACCATGGCCTTGCAGGTGGCCTGGCCAAACACCCAGGACTGAGCCAGTGAGTAAATCCATATAGGCAGAGTGACCAGCACCAGCAGGTCAGCAATGGCCAAGTGCAGAATAAGCAGCACAGTGTGAGAGCGCTGTTTCACATGCTTCATGATGGTGTAAACCACCAACAGGTTCCCTGGAGTCCCCACCACAAAACATACAGCCAGGATAGAACACGCCACTGCTATCCCACCACCCCATTCGGACCCTTCTTCCTCCAAAGTTGTGCCGTTCCTGCCAGAGGGAGAGAAGCTGCTCATGTTTTCATCTGATTCTCAGACAAATGACAGCAGTGTAGAAACTGACTGCAACTGGGTTTCGTACTAGGAAGGAACCTACACCCTTTACTTCTCCAAACGATCACAAGAACAGCAAAAACAAAACTGACAGAAAGCATCCAGACCATTGATGAAACAGCACTTTTTAGAACGTTGAGTCAAAAATGTCAAATTCGAAGTTAATTGTTGCGACATTGGGCTGAGACCCAAAGTCCCAACCAATATGCTTCTGGGAAAATGTATAGTCTAGCCCTAAACAAAGCCAAAATCCAACAGCATACCACTACATACTAAAGTAAAGTACACTACAGTACACAAATTACTAAAACATTTATGTACCCCATGCAATGTGAGACTGCATTTGTTTTCCTGGAGAGAAGTACATCTTCAGTGCAGTGACATCCTCACTTTCATATTAATAAGAATAAAACACGTTTAGTGTAACAGCCCTGAGGTGTACAAACAACTCAGAAAAGACAATTAGAGAGGAATTCCACCAGTGGTTTGAAATGTCTGCTTAATTCATTGGCTGAGATGTAAATAAAGTCATTCAAGGTTGCGTTTCCCAAAAGCATCAGTGAACAACTACCATATTTAAATGATAGTCTCTCTATCATTTTGAACACTCTCTCTCCATGGTTACCACGGCAGTTGCTCAACAATCCTTTTCGGAAATGTAGACCAGACTGGTTTGCTGTGAAATGATTCATTGAAGAGAAACTTACAGACTCAGTTTTCTTTACAGTGGTGGTGATAGGAACCAGGGGTTGCAATGTCTACAACACAAATATAGCTGTTTTGTTCACTGGTGAGATTTTTTTACATGGAATGTTGATAATAAGAAATTGTGGTAAATCTTTTTTTGTTTTTTTGGGGACTATTTTAAACCTTCTCAAAACTATCGCAAAACAATATGTCAGACAGCAGGCAGCATATTCATAACCATTTCATATAATAACTTTATTATATTATTAATAACTGGGAAGGAGCTTATAGAGATGGACTTCTAGCTCCATTTCACTATCACTGTGAACAATTCAGACTTGGTTAGTTTCACTAGAACAGAGTATTTCACATCAAACCAATGTTTGTTTCCATCTCAACTGTTTAATTATGAAAATCTGAAATGTCGGTTTTGACTCAACAAGTTTCTATGTTTCACATTAAACCACTCGGACTGACTGTGCTTAATGATTTACTAATGCAAACATTTTAACATGTGGGACATTCTGTAGCAATTACCCAGCTAGCTAAGACTTCTGAACAATAACCAACAATAACAATTACGCTAATTATGAATGAAACTGTGGTTATGTGAGCAGCGGATGATCACCAGGGGCTGTAATTACTGAGTGGATATTTCCCTGTGATGGCTATGGAGCCCTGCTGGTGACATCCTGTATAAATAAAAATAATGCGTGGCCACACCTTATTAACGTGTGGGAATGAGATGATTAAATCATGGCCATGACTTAGTAAGGCATGGGAACGAGATCATGGCTTACTAAGTCGTGGCAACGCATTAGGATCTCGTTCCCACGCTTTACTAAGTCGTGGCCACGACTTAATCATCTCATTCCCATGCCTTACTAAGTTGTGGCCACGCATTATTTTTATTTATACAGGATGTCACCAGCGGGGCTCCGTAGATGGCATTTATTAAACCGCACGTTCAAAAACTGTCTAATCTTAAAACGCTTGAGACTGTAATGTTAAACTGAGCTAAACTGGTTAGTTTGCTGCAAATGTTGTTAACATTAATAAATAAGCCCGCAGTCAGTAATTTTCTGACTGAACAGCCAAATCATTCATTAAAGGAGAAAACTGAGCAGCAAACACGATTAGACTACAAAACCTTCTCTATCTGACCACTGAACACTTGGATAGCGAGCTAGCAAATCTACTGGATAATTCAGTGAGCTAATTTATCTTTCCAGATTTTTGCGTTCACACTGGGATTCAGGACTTGCTATGGAGAGTGCAGATGAAAGCTGTACCTTCAACATTGGAGGAGCTGTTTTCTCCATTCCTCTCCATTCCTCCTGCCTCCAGGAATCTTCACTGTGAGCTGCAGGTGAAAAAGATCCGGGCTGTGAGCTGCAGGTGAAAAAGATACGCGCATTACTACATTAACACATGGCAGCCTGGCTGCATCATGTTAATCGGAAATCAACGTATTATATGAACTAGCAGAAGCTCTGTGTCGTACATCTTTGCAACAGGTACATGTGGTTAAGCCTGTGTGTGAATCACTCTGAGGTTTTCACTACGCAAGCAGTTATGATTGGTTTGTCAAAATATATCTTTAGGATGGACTTTGCAAACTGTTTGCTCATTTTCTGGCTCCATAGAAACTGACTCAAATGAATGATGCAGTGAGAAGCCGTTCATCTCGTTTGCAAATGTATTTGAGAGTTAGAGCCACGCCCCCTTATTGTAGCAACATGAGATTCCGTTACTCATTACACAAGTATACAAGTTCGCTTTTCTCTGTAATTCCTATTTGTGGTCAGTAGATGGCGGAATGTATCTGATAGAAATAGTCAATGTCTAGAAAAACGGCTGCACAGCTCAGCTGTACAAGAACTGAGGCTGTTTCAGCTCCTCACATCTAAATGACTGAACTAAATGATTATCATCTCATGGCTTGGAGACCACCCTGCTAAAAAACACAGAAACCATTAGGTGTTTCTGTTGGTTCCTGATGGTTTTTGTAATGTGTTTTGACTTGTTTAATGGGTTGATATTACAGTATAAAGGATCCTAATGGTTCAATCAGTGGCTGATTCTAAATGCATCTGATGGTTTCCTAAAGGGATCTAAAGGTGTTCTACAGGAAACTAGTTGTCTCTTTTGGAAACCATTAGGCCAATTCCCATTAGAAAACAAAACCATTAGGTTTTAATCATAATGTATTCGAACACTCTGCTTTCAACACGGCATATGGGGATATATAAAACAGTGAGAGAAAGGCTGTGAATACTTTGCTATTATATGGATTTTTGTGTGAATGGCTCTTAAAATGTGATCTACTCTTCGTACTGCAGCAGTTTAAAGTCCCTGTATATGAGTTTACTGATATTAGGTTTAGGATTTAGTTACAGTAGCTACAGTAATCCAGAAGTCAGGAGAAATACCCCACAAAGAGAGGAATATAAATGTGTGTGTTTAAACTCACACAATATCCTCTACAGGTACAGTGTGTAAGATGAGCTCCGTTGTAACCAGTTTTAGGATTAATTCCTACATCGTGTAGTGCAGTCTGTGGTTTTCCTGCACTGACAGAACTGCACTGGTACTCTCTTTAAAGGGTATTTCAGAAAACCACATTCAGGAATGTGATGCTGTTTTGAACACATGCTGTCAGGCACTAAGGGAACTGTTGTTTCTGAGTTCAGCTATGAGAGTTCATGTTATTTCCCTTGTTTACTTTTATGTTGAAGGTAGAACTTATAGGGTTAATTTCCTGGATAGGAATTAAGGCCAGTTCTAGACTGCACAGTATTATGACTGGTGGTTCTCCACTGAAAGAAAAATAGTCTTGGACTAGGCTTAATCCCTGTCCTGGAAATAAGGACCGGTAAGGTTATTTATTAGTGGCTTGTATGATTATCATTTATAATTTAAGACTTTGTCAGTTGTCAAATGTAAAATTCCTTAAAGTCAAACAACCAGTGGAGCTTTAACCCGCTTGGGGCCACAGGGGGTCGTGGGCCCTATTGGTGTAGTTACACACAGCAATTTTGATTTGTTCTCACAGAGAACAAATCAAAATTGACTAACTTAAAATTTCCACTTAATACATTTTATTGGATAGGCCTGTGTTACGACCTCCTATGTCTAGGGGAACACTTAAGGTCGTACATAAAAAAAGACAAACCAACGCCATCCAACGGCCAGACCAAGACACCACCAACTACAAATAATTGATCACTTATCAGCATTTATTTCTTTTAACTTGAACAAGTTAAAGGCAACATCTTATAGAAGTTAGTAAGTCTAGGTTTAAGCTGATCAACTGCAAATGAGCTTACACAAAGATACACTTCAGGGGGCGAGATAAAGCCAAAACAAACTAGAAACAAACAGATAACTAAACTAATCTAACTCAAAACAAAATTACAATTATAAGACTACCTCCCTGTCCCAAACCAGGAGAAAACAATATACAAAACATAAGGCACTCATCCCCTTACTTAGAAAAGGAAAGCTTTACGGGTATTTAAGCAAACTCAGACAACAATAAACACAAGTTCACAAAAAGTTCAGGTGCTTGGTCTGGTCAGGTGGAGGCTGATGGCACAGGTGCGACCATTGGAACAGCCCTCTCCTCCTCCTGCAGTGCCGCAACGGCCCTTAAGTAACTGGAGCGCCCCCTGCTGTATACAATCAGACCCTCCAGACACCAATCCTAGAGGGAAAGTGATTACAAAAAAAAACAACAAAAAAAACCACCATACACCCCCAGGATCGTAACACCTGTTATGAGGCTGAGTAGGAGATGTATATGAATCTCTTTAAAAGAAATAAATACAGCCAATCAGAGGCTCAGAAGTAGTCTGGTTCCGCTCTTCAACCAGCCAAAGATTGTTCACTCATAACGTTAGCTTACTTATCTTTCATTCTAGCTTTATTATTAGACTCCTGAGTGACCTGTAGTGAGGGCAGCTGAATGAGTAACTTCTATAACTTAAAACATCAAACTTAATGCACTGAAAAAGTGGCACATTTAATTGACTTCATTCAAATGTGTATAAAATTCATTAATTCATAAAATGAGTAAACTCAGTTTACTTTTAACAATAACTGTTTTGAGTCATTTTAACAGTTTTTATGTTGTGTGAAAGTTCTGGCTGCGTCTCTGGTGATAAGAACCAGCAGAATTAAGTATGAATGCAAAACTGTATTTACAATCAGCTCTAGCTTGAGTTTCATCTCAATATCTGTAGATTGTAGGTTGTGGGTTGGAGTTTTTTGTATACAAAGTGACAATTTAATTTGAATTAATTAATTCATTAACAGAGCAGCCTCTTCTTTGATCATTTTCACATTTAAAACTAAACGCTTGCTTGACTTGACTGCAGAACACCTCTTTACTTTCATGCTATTTTTGTGAGATTTGTTTTTCTCTGGATGGTATTTGGAACTACACATCAATAAAGTGGAAACCTTATTGCCAACTGCACTGCAATGTAATGATATCTTAGATGGTTTTTAGAGCATTGCTGAACAGTTGATATGATATTCCAGGTGGCTGCTAGAGTGCTACTCTGCGGATGCTATGGTATTTTAGCTGCTTGCATTGTACAGTGCATTTCTAGAGGGTTTCGGGTGGTTGCTAGGGTGTTACTAGGTGATTCTTACATCATGCCATGTGGTTGCTAAGGTGTTGTGAGGTGTTTGTTAGGGTGTTGCTAATTAGTTCATACACTCATATGCAAGCAGTAAAAAGTTTTGAGCACATAATAATAGTAATAAGAAGCAAAAAATGAAGGTTGTTGTTAGGTGTTTGCTATGGTATATTAAGTGGTTGCTAGGGTACTACTAGGATTCAGTTGATTGCTAAGGTGTTACTAGTGGGTGCTAAGATGTTGCTAGGTGTTTGTTAGGGTGTTGCTAAATAGTTCTTACATTTATATGTGAGCTGTGAAAGTTTTAAGCATGTAATGATAGTAATAAAATAGTAATAAAAACTAAGACCTGGACGTTATTCTTGCATATTCTTGTGAGTAAAATACAATGTCAAACACTGCAATGCTTCAGTGTTTATTCTCTGATAGTTAGTCTCCTCTGTTCTGAAGGATGTGGTGGACTGAACTGTGAACTGCCCTTAAAGGGGAATTCCACCTTATTTTGAAAATTTCTACATGATTCAATCACTGAGATGTAAACACAATAATTGATAGTGTTTTGATGTTGAATAGTTTACTGTGGAGAAGCTTCCTCACTCAAATTTAGTTTACAGTGGTGGTGACAGGAACCAGAGAACACAATATCTACAATACAAATATAGACGTTTTATTACTCTAGATGATTATGCAATACCAATGATATTTGTTCTGATATTCCAGTAGTTATTGGTGGTGTTATCGGTGGTGATCTAGGACCAGCTTTCTACGTAAGCACAAAAGAAATGTCAATAAAGCAGAAAAATGTAATGGTTCTATAAATACAAACAACCTAATCTGCGTTAAGCCTTCACCTCCTTTGCATTCCCAGCCAAAACGGCTAAAAGGCTAAAGTGATCCAACTGAAAGTTCTGATTGCACAATCTAACCCACATATATTAATCTTAACAGAGACATGGCTTAGGCACCCCATAACTAGAGTGAAAAATTTAAAACTTTAAAATTAAACAACGGCCTGATTTGCCTCAATGGTTATAAATAAAATCTGTATTCTCTTGACGTTTGTGCCATTTGTGTGAGACTATTTTGCTCTGAATCGTATTTGGAACTAGACGTCAGCAAGGCATTGTGTGTAAAACTCAATGCCAAAAACTGCAATGCAGTGCACTGGTATGTTAGGTTGTTGCTTGAGTGTTGCCAAGCAGGTGATATGGTATTTCAAGAGTGATACAATGTGGTTGCCATAGTATTTCAGCTACTTGCAAAAGCATTGCAAGATTGTTGTTAGGTGTTAACTATGGTATATTAGGTGGTTCCTGGGACATTACTAGGACATAGCTAGAGTGTTTTAGGTAGTTGCTAGGGTGTTGCTAGGTGGTTCCTACATCATCCCAATTGGTTGCTGGATGTTTCTAAGCAGTTCACATAATCATATGTGGGCTATAAAGAGTTGTGAATCTTGAGCATATAATAATTATAACAATAATAATAAGAATAAAAAGAGCTGGGTGTTAGCAAGATCTTTTGAGTAAAACACAATGGCAAGAACTGCAATGCTTCAGTGTTTATTTTCTGATAGTTAGTCTCCTCTGTTCTGAAGGATGTGGTGGACTGAACTGTGAAGTGCCCCTAACTGCCCTCCTCTAAAAATGTCATAACCTGGAACATAAACCAAAAACATGCATTAGGTAGAGAAGCACTTCTGAAGCCCTTCTAAATTTTAATAACGCATGTATATATCACATAATCTCTTTTGTTTGTCTTATAAAAACACCAGATATTTGAGCTTTACTGCTTCCTCTATTGGCATTCATTTCCTCTCCTCCCTGGCTAACCTGATCCTAGGTTGGCATGTTGCATCGTAACCAATCATGCTGCTGTATCTGCTGCAAATTAGGCCTCCCGGTTGGGCTACGCTGCAGGCACCACCCAATTAGATTGCAGCATTCTGTACAGAGTGACAGGATTGGATGGGAGAGAGATGCTTAACCTCTAAATCAATATTCTTTTTACTTCGTCTTTTCTTCTCTGTATTTTAAAAGCACCACCATGTAACGGATGTGATGTAGCTACAACATGCAAACTATTATAAACATATTTACACTATATAATATATAAAGGATTACACACTATTATAAACATATACATTTAAGGAAATCTGGCCAGTACTGCTAATTCTTCAGCTTTTACTCTGCATATTCATCTCCAAATACAGATTTTGTTTTCAGTCTTTGTTCCTCTAGACTCAGTTACAAGGTTAAAGGTATGAACCACTGTCATTTCCACACTTGTTTACCAGGATGCTCTCATTTATCTCACCATCAGAGAGGCCATCTCTGAAGTGCAGAGCCCCACCAGTGATATCATCATCATCAGCAAAGGGAAGGTACCCGCAAACCATCCTGAACATTAGGACACCAAGGGACCAAACTGTTGCTGGACCAGCATGATACCTTTCTTCTAGAAGGAACTCAGGAGGGCAGTATTCATCCGTGCCTGAGAAAATGAAAGAGGGAGAGAAATAAGCAGAGCTGAGCACAAGCATTAATTTCCATACTAACACTGAACAGCTCAGTTGCGTGTTTTACCTTCAAAAATGTTATAGCCATATTTCTTGATGAAATCGCCGCAGCCAAAGTCAATCAGCTTGACCTCCAAAGTATCCTGGTTGATCAATAAGTTTTCTGGTTTGATGTCCCGGTGCAGCACACCTCGCTTGCTGCACTGAAACGCTGCCATCACAGACTGCCACATTAAATCTCGTGCCATGTCTTCAGTGACATAACCTCCACAGTCCTGAAGGAAGCTGTCCAAGCTCTTGCAAGGGTCAGGGCGCTCCAGGATTAATATGTAGCGGTCAGGCTCATCAAACCACTCGATGAGCTGGATGACGGTCTTGCAGATGGGTGGCTGGCTCATGATCTGCAGCAGAGCCACCTCCACAGGTACAACCTTTAGCTCATTAGGCTGCAGGAAAAAAGGTAGTTAGACAGTGAGGAATTATCAGTGAAGAACATAAGGATGGAATTGTGGTGGTTTGGGATCATTATGCATTAGTATTAGCATTTATTCCAGTCAAGATTTGAAAGTAAAAAGGGTTCAGAAGCTGCAAGTGCACTTACACTTTGGACATATCGGTCATCATGCAATTTTCTGACAAATTTTATGGCCACCTACACACAATCACAAGAAATATAATAAAACTACAAGCACTGACAAGGCAAGAAAAGACATGATGATACTAAAATAGAATTTGGAGAGTGAAAGAGCTCCAAACCTGTAGGCCATCAGATACACGTTGTCCTTTAAAGACAGATCCAAAGCCTCCTTCGCCTAGTTTTTCTCCAACAATATAGCGAGAGGCAAAGCTGTCTATGAAACACAGTGTTACAAATGAACAACAGCCATCTTTAGATAATCTAGCATGAGTTTACTAATCATTTACTGGTTATGAGAGAAGCAGTGAGAACTAGTTTCTGATATCACACCAGGCCACTGTAAATATGAATCATTTGGATAATTATAGTGCACTTAGAATAAAATGAAATGTAGCTGATTTAGGTAATCTGGGAAATGAACTGACCAGGCTTGGTGGCTTTCCTCTGTCTTATAGTCCTCCTCATGGGCTGCTCCACTGCCCCCTTCCTCTTCTTCCTCGCTGGGGCTTCAGTGTTGAGCACCTCCAGCACTACAACAGGTTCTTTCTTAGCAGAGCCGTTGTTTGTTCCCTGCAGGACAGTCTGACTACAGCCCTCCTCTGACCTTTTTCTCTTTCCAACTGCATACAGGATCATCATTTGAATATTAAAAATAATTTCATACAATATAACCTGAATATATCTACGGTAATTATAATACTAGAAAGATACACTGCTTTATATGCTATTATATGCTATGTTTCATGGTGATGTGTACAGGCACTTGTACTGTACTAGTTATCATAAAAGTCTCTGATTAGGGCCTTTTTTTAATCTCAAATTCAAAACCTAAAATCTGATGGAATCTAGACCTTAATCTTAATAGAACACAGCAAACTGACACAGCATTAATGTACACAATTAAACTCAGACTGTGTGGAACAACCTTTGGGTTCAGAGCGCTGTTCCATCATCTGCTGTATGAGCTGAAAACTGCCAGCAGTTTCACTTTATTCTGAAAGATTTAACTATAAATTATACAAACTAACTTTAGACGTGTGAAATGTTTTTTTTCCCGTCGACTGACTGGAAATGGAAAAATTCCTCTCGCAGAAAGTGTATTCGTCATCCGTTATGACGTCATAATGAGGGGGTTCTGATTGGCGCGTGTTGCCATGGCGCTGTTTAGAATTTTCGTCATGTGAACTGAATTTGTGTGTATTTAAAACTGTCTAACCCAGTTTCTAAAGAAAAATACACGAAACTGACTCAAATGAATGATGCAGTGAGAAGCCGTTCATCTCGTTTGTGAATGTATTTGAGAGTTAAAGCCACGCCCCCTTATTGTAGCAAAAAGTGATTCCGTTACTCATTACACAAGTTCGCTTCTCTCTGTAATTCCTATTTGTGGTCAGTAGATGGCGGAATGTATCTGATAGAAACAGTGTCTAGAAAAACGGCTGCACAGCTCAGCTGTACAAGAACTGAGGCTGTTTCAGCTCCTCACATCTAAATGACTGAACTAAATGATTATCATCTCATGGCTTGGAGACCACCCTGCTAAAAAACACAGAAACCATTAGGTGTTTCTGTTGGTTCCTGATGGTTTTTGTAATGTGTTTTGGCTTCTTAATGGGTTGATATTACAGTGTAAAGGATCCTAATGATTTAACAGGTGATCAGTGGCTGATTCTAAATGCATCTGATGGTTTCCTGATGTGATGTAAAGGTGTTCTACAGAAAACTAGTGGTCTCTGTTGAAAAGCATTAAGCAAATTCCCATTGGATAGCAAAACCATTAGGTTTTAATGCTAATTTATTCTAATGGTCTATATACAGCAGTGAGAGAAAGGCCATGAATACTTTACTATTATATGGATTTTTGTATGAATGGCTCTTAAAATGTGATCTACTCTTTGTACTGCAGCAGTTTGATGTCCCTGTATATGAGTTTACTGATATTAGGTTTAGGATTTAGTTACACTAGCTACAGCAATCCAGCTGTGAGAGTTCATGTTATTTACCTTGTTTAGATTAAGACCAGTTCTAGACTGCACAGTATTATGACTGGTGATTCTCCACTGAAAGAAAAATAGTGTCTTGGACTAGGCTTAATCCCTATCCTGGAAATAAGGACCATATTTACTAGACCAAGTTTATTTACTAGTGGCTTGTTTGATTATGATTCATCATTAAGACTCAGTTGTCAAATGTCAAATTCATTGAAGTCAAACAACCAGGGGAGCTTTAACCTGCTTAGGGCTCTTGGGGCTACAGGTGGTCGTGGGCTCTATGGGTGTAGTTACACACAGCATTCAAAAACTCAAAACCTTTGTTTTTAATGAAAGCCATCAACTTCCAGTACCGCCATTCATCATCTTTCCGTTACTATACAAACTAAAACAAAGCTAATGTCAGCTTCTTATCCACCAGGTTCTTTTTCTAATAAATCCATTCCAATTTAAATGGTGCTGCTGTTGCATTCTGGCTCCTGTAACTGCTGCCCTATTTAAAGTGGAACAGACATTTCAAATAAGAAGCTGGCAAATACAACGCCAGTTTTGGCCTCAACAAACTTCAATCCAGAACAGCCAAAGACGGTTTAAAATTTGCATTGAACTTACGGTGAATTTCAACATGATATCATATGCACAAGCTGTGCTCCACCCAGTCTGTAATGCGACGCTTCTCCAGTGGTATGTGGCACAGTTTACCCAGTAAAATCATCCATGTCACCAAAAGAAGCCAAGGACAAGCTGTAGTCGACCGTCTGATTTAGAGGCCTAGGCAGAAATCAGTTTTTGGGTAGGCCTGGAAAAGTCAGTAAGCCAACTTCGTAGACAAAACTTTCAAAGCCGCAGACCCCAAAAAGACAACATGACAGATAAAGTCAGACAAAAACCAACACAGCAAACTTAAAAACCTCTAATCATTTTAGTAAAGCACACTGCCATAGCAGGCATGAAAAATGTTTATAGTCCATTCATGTCACACCTTTGCTTTGACATTTTCACAAAGCCTGTTTCAACCTTTCTAGTAAAAGAGCATTGTAAGTACCAAATTCACAGAAAACTGACAATGCTGACCAGATCAGAGTACTCTACGGGATGGAATCTTACTTTAACACTTATCCAGTTAACCAATGTTAACTATGATGTAGACCTTATGGCTCAGCTCCCTCTTCACCACTATAGTCCGGTACAGCAACCACATTACTATTGCTGCCTGTCCCAGCTCCAAACTGTTCCAGTGTGTGCTGGAGGCAACCATGCCATGGAGCTAAAAGGACAACATCATCTGCAAAAAGCAGAGACGTCACCTTCCGGCCTTCACACATAACATCCTCCTGACCTCGGCTACACTTTGTCACCATGTCCATGAATATCACATTTACACATTTTTTCAACATTTTGCAGACATGTATTGAAGTTGTGTCTAGATGGCACTGATATAGACAAATGCTTATTTTGTCACTGCTACAAGAACCAAAAGTTTTGGATGTGTACCTTATTTCTACAATTTGCACAGCTTGCACAATCTCCCAAATTATTATTATTATTATTATTATTATTATTAGAGTATTAACATTTTTAACACGTTGTATGTGACAGGACCCATCTCATGCAATTAGAAAGGCAAATTAATAGCAATAATATAGTGCAAGTGTAGCTATGCCTATTCTTCATACATATTTTTAAAACTTGCTTACATTTATAGGATACTCCAAACTGTTTTTTTTTGTTCCGTTCCAGTTTCCTACTATAGCAGAACTCTGTACAGTCAGTAATGCAGAGTGAATTGGATAATATGTGCCATGTTAGGCTTGTATGCACATCCATTAGATCAGGGGTTCTCAATTCTTAACCTTTTCCAACCCACAGCTCACTTGTGTATAGCTAAAATCATAGCAGCTCAGAGAAAAACTAAAATCAACTTTTTAAAATACTTAAAAAATATAATAATAATAATAAAAAAACATTATTTTTCTTTTCTTACACACTCTAAGCAAAAAAGGTACAAAACTGTCACTGGGGTGGCACCCTCAATGGCACATCTCAGTACCTTTAGACAAGGAACATAATTGTACCATAATCCACTGGAGTTGTATTGACTCCACACACCCCATCTAGTCTTCAGGCTTTTTATTTGATTGTTCTCATTTAAAACATTTGGTTATGAAAAGGTACAAATACATACCTTTCACCTGGGAAAAACTTATTTAAGGTGCACAATTGGACCCTAAAACCACTGTTGTACCTTTGAAGGTACACTTACATTGTTTGTACCTTGATGAACGAAAATGTACCTGCACAGTACCTTTATTTCTAACAGTGCAGTTTTTTACGATTGCTTAGGCATGTTTTTGAAAACAGGGCTGATTTTGTCCAAACACTACACACAATTTACAGTCACACACGCAAGCAGCAGAACACCTCAGTTTGTATGCAAAATGAAACACTTCATTCAAAACTATACAATAATTTATAAAAACCCAATTTTGTCACCGTATGGTGCACACAGAGTTCATACAATCTGATTCTGTTTGAATCAGTTGCGCACAGCCGTGCTCAATCTAAAACACTCTTAACATTGTTAGAGTTATTGAGGTATTGTTAGAGTAAAATGAATGAATAACCAAACACAACACACAAGACCAGCAATACATAAACTGAGACTGTTGGGCACCTTTGAAAACGTGGTGATGGCTGATACTTTCTAAACAATACTATCATATTCAGAATAATTTTAGAATGCATATGGATATAGTACATAGGGAAAACATGGAATTGTTAAGCTAATCACTCTGGTTTTTGCTGTCAGTTGTTAGCAGCTTTCTTCCTGTAATCTTTATGGAAAATTCACTTATCATTTAAATGAAGATAACAAATTCTTAACATTTTTTTCTTTCTCACCGCCTGCTTCAGTCTACTACTCCCACAATCCCCTGAGAAGAAGTCCAGTACAACACTGATGCTAAACTTGTCACTTGCAAACATTTCCACTACTGATGAAATCATTAGTTTGAGCATCACTCAAAAGAGTTCAGTAACACTAAGATTAGTAATTGATTATCACATTGATTTATCAGTCTACTCAGGCTTTAGCAGAGCTCACAAATGCTGAGATTAATAAATGATCATCACATTGATTTATCGGTCTACTCAGGCTTTAGCAGAGCTCAGTAACACTGAGATTAATAAATGATCATCACATTGATTTATCAGTCTACTCAGGCTTTAGCAGAGCTCAGCAACACTGAGATTAATAAATGATCATCACATTGATTTATCGGTCTACTCAGGCTTTAGCAGAGCTCAGTAACACTGAGATTAATAAATGATCATCACTTTGATTTATCAGTCTACTCAGGCTTTAGCAGAACTCAGTAACACTGAGATTATTAAATGATCATCACATTGATTTATTGGTCTACTCAGGCTTTAGCAGAGCTCACCAACACTGAGATTAATAAATGATCATCACATTGATTTATCGGTCTACTCAGGCTTTAGCAGAGCTCAGTAACACTGAGATTAATAAATGATCATCACATTGATTTATCAGTCTACTCAGGCTTTAGCAGAGCTCACCAACACTGAGGTTAATAACTGATCATCACAGTCTACTCAGGCTTTAGCAGAGCTCAGCAGCACTGAGATTAACAACTGAACTGAAGTTTTGAGGGTTTTTGTGATTCATTTGAAATAGCCAAACATCACTCCATTCACTGGGCTTTTGGATTAGCATCATCACAATAAACACTAATAATCTCTCATGATATCTATCTTTTTTGTCATTGGTTTAGCAATTGGAGTTTAACCATGCAGGTTGCTGATGATCGGCCAAAAAAACGCTCCACGATCCACTCAAATCAAACGCATTTCTTCTTATTCTTTTATAGCTCATATATTGTTTTTAACAGCAGTTTATGCTCAGTGTCTGTAAAGAGTCAGTCATTGAAACAGTCGTTATGCTGACTGTACGGCGCCAACGTGCCTCTAGCAGATAAGGAAAGCAGAGGTGTAAGTAACGAATTACATTTACTCTCGTTACTGTAACTGAGTACAGTTTTCCCTGTAAAGGTACTTTTTGGAGTATTAAATCATAGTACTTTTACTCTTTAATTTTGAATGAAATACTTTTACTTCGCTGCTTTAATTTTCATAACAGAGTAAAAATAAATTATGATCGTATTATTAAACCGATAATAACCAAGCGCGGTTAAAATTCACCAATCAAAAACCAGCAGCTCCGGCAGGAAAAACACTACAGAGATGTCCAGTTCAGTGAGGGACAGAGGAGAAGTAAACCAGCACGAGGAACAGACCACATGCAAACGGTCATCTGTATTCATTTTCACACGAACTAAAGAAAACGGCGTAATTATCAGCGGCCAAACACGAAACCTGCTGAGATCCGCTCTCACAACTTGACTCCAGCCTGAGGGAGCGTTAGCCGAGCTAGCTGACCCGAGATAAACAGGTACCGTGTTTACGGGTTTCTTCTTTCTTTTATAACGATTCTGTTCATTACACTTAAAATCTGTTGAGTATATTTTATTACAAGTGCCTTTCAGGTACTTTAGTTAACAGGTTTAGTTAACAACCCACAGCCTACAGTCTACACGTTTCTACAGCCTAGTTTAGCTGCTGTTTTGGAGATTAACGGTCGTTTACGGCTACAAGGAATCTAGTTTAATACAGGTTCTTCATCAACTCAGGACAGTGATTCTGTCGTGCTGTCGTTGACTGGCCTGATCTGATCCCTCCCCACCTCCCCACCTCCCCGCCCTCTCTCTCTCTCTCTTTCCCTCTGTCTCTCTCTTCCTCCCTCCTCTTTCTGTCTCTCTGTCTCTCTCTCTCCCTCTCTCTGTCTCTCTTCCTTCCTCCCTCTCTCTCTCTCTCTCTCTCTCTCTCTCTCTCTCTCTCCCCCCCTCTCTACCTTGGTATTTGTCTTTAACTGTGTAGCTGTTTAACTGTGAAATGCAGTAATAATGTCTGGTTCTGTATGAAGTGATTAGCATGATTACTGGTGAAATATATTTCAGTAAAAAGCTGGGTAAGTTGTTGATGTTGCTGCTGATTTTAATGGTAGAACAGATGTCAGTGAAAATGCACAGTTTGAATGCTGTGAATATGTTGACTGTCTGTAGAGGGTCACATCTATTAACGTAAGATAGAGTCCAGGGAGCTGATGGGCAGCAGGACTCACTAAAATTACATTATTAATTAAGCAATTTACTCATAATTTTGTTTAGTAATAATAATAATAATAATAATAATAATAATAAAGTTTTTTTTTCTTAAAGTTAATTAATCAGTAACAACCTCTGCACAGTCTTTCAGGGATTCTAAAATACTTTATTGGAAACAGATAAACTAGAACGTCTCATAAAATCATCTAACTCTCAGAACTTTAGCTTTAGTGTTTTTCTGTACAGATTATTTCCAGTGATGTAGCCAAGTCAGCTCAGAAATATGTTCAGGTTGTGACAGCGGAAATACGAAAAAGTAACTAAGTAACTCGGTACTTAAGTAGTTTTTTAATGAACTACTCATTTATTCTTACTTGAGTAATTTTATTTACTAATACTTTTACTTGTACTTGAGTAAATTATCACTACAGTAACAGTACTTTTCAGTACTCTTTACACCCCTGGTAGTGTGACAGAGCAGGTCAAGTCACAGGCAAAGACACCATGACTGGAGGATTCATTTAGAGAAAAACCAGATATAAACCCTACTAACCTTGTGCTATACAAGCTTTTTTGACTTCAGGTGGTGAAGTATTCAGTTAGGACACTTTATTCAGTGACTCAAGTGTCCTCCAGTTAAGGCAGGATGACAATATTTGCTGTGTTGATGAAAAACCCAACCAAAATTATTCTAAATGGACATAACTCATCTTCAGGGTAATGAACACGAGAGCCTGAAGCAGACAAAGTAATTTCATTCCACATAGCTAAATTTAACATCAACTCTCTTTCAGTTACTTTTAGCAATACTTGTGTTGATGTAATAGATTTTATTTATGTAGAAATAATGTATTTATTTGAATCAAGTAAATTCACTTTTTTTAGAATGTAACTGCTCTCACGTCCCCAAAACCAGCATAAAAAGAATCACACTTTTAATGTCTTTAAAGATAAATCTGAATTGGTTAAAATAATAATATTTTATATGCTAATTTATTATCAACCATAAAGTTTCAGGGCAGTACATTTTTCCATCAGGTCAGACAGGCAGACAGGCAGAATGAACACTGTAAGTAGTGACTGACACCATAAACAGTGACAAAAGTCACTGACTCACTTTTAATATTCATGTAAAACATTTGACAGATGGTGATGCTCTGAGTCACTGGGGTGGGCTAAGCTAATTCTGATATTCCGATTTGCTATTCATTGATTTTCCGTCGTTACTGACAGTTGTCGTAGCCAGAAACTTTCATTTGGATGAACTCTTGGACATCTGTAGCATTCTTTTCCAGCTGCTCTCTCTCATCCCGCTGCTCCTGTATCTTCTGCTCGTTCTCCTGGACCTTCCTCTCCAGCTCTACAACAACACAACAAACAGAGTGGACACAATGATGTTTCAGCTTTTTGGAGAAAAAGGGTCACCCCAAAACATTAGCGGCACCAAGAGGGCACAAGGATCCCATAGCAACCCCAGAAATTACACAGATTTTGTGTATTATTTACAAAATCACCACAAAAATAAATGAACTATACTCAAAATGGATTCAATAGCCTAAAATATATAATTCAGTTAGCTCATTAACTTACATTGTTGCATACATCATAATGATTAACCTATTAGTTTAGTTTTAGATGAGTACTGAATAGTGAGTTTGTATTTTATGCGACACATATTTTTGCAAGCTAGCCGATGCCTGTGCATACATACATACATAGACATGTGTACTTGATCCCTGAGGGGAAATTTGAGTACATTGTCTGGGATCAACTAAACCAATGATTCCTTAAAAGCTTTTACTTGTCTTTTCTGTGGCTGGTGTAAAGTATGATATCAGTAACTGTTATTTTACTTGTTTTTTCTAAGTGATTGTCAGTTTGTACTTCATCATTAGTACATTATCTGCAGTTAGGCTGGATCCCCCTCCATAATCTGCTTCATATGAATGTGATCTGTACATTAGCACCTGCTACAGAGCACAGCTACCCCAAAAGTACCCATTACAAATATTGCTGGTGCCATTACAGATATTAACACATACTCTTAAGCGTTTCCATGTCCTTGTTGGCCTTCTTTAGAAACGCCTCTGCCTCTTTCTTCATGTCTGTCACTCTGCGTGATGTTGCCTGCTTCAGCACCTCCACAGTTTCTGACATTTCCTGATACAAAGATACGCACAGACAAAATGTAAAATCATCTACCTAATTTAGCTCAGTGGAACAGAGATAAAAGATGTGCACAACAGGCAAACCTTGCTTAATTCAAAGGCAGCCTGAGTGGCATTATCTGCCAGGGCCTTGGCTTGGTGTTCTGCGCCTGCTGCCTGTTTTGCTCTGTCTTATTCTTTAGGATAAATTTGTAGATTTGTAAGCTTGTCCTCCACCTGGCTCCAATGTTCAGGACGGAACATAAGAGAAAAGGACGATTGTGATAGCAAATAACATTGACAAAACCATTACAATATTCTTTTGAAATATTGGGTACAGAGTGTTCTGGCTGCAAAGTTTCCCAACAAAAGATTCTATAATAAATTACATGTTTTGCTGATTTTGTAAGTGAAAGTAAAAACACATCCTCTACAGAGAACACGCTTCTGCACATTTTAATGCACAATTTCTGTTTAATTGTTGAATTTATCATACTGCAAAAAACAGAACATAAAAAGTGAGATGCAAAAAAGTTAAGGTACGTTTCATATACATTTTTTCCAACATGTTAAACTCAGCAAATAAACAGAAATTGTGCACTAAAATAAAAAAATGCAATGCTAAGTTTGTTCTCTATAGAGGCTGTGTTAACTTATGTTCTCTGCTTAAACTTTTGCATACAACTGTATTTCAGCTGCCATCACTATAAGGCCTGTACTGTTTCCTTATGCTTGCAGCGCCCCCTGGTGACAGAAGCCCCTGGTTACAGACTCTAATTCAAATCGACAATCAGATTGCAAGACTGATAATTCCACTACTCAGTCAGAGAGTGCTATGTAACATAAAAGACATTAATTATGAAAGTCTGCCCAGCAGTTTAGGGCAGTTACTTTTACTTATATAAGACCAGAATCATATCAGCAATGCTGCTGATATACCAATAAGAGTTACTGCTCTAGACCAAGGGTGCCCAAACTTATTGTCTTGGAAGAGCAAAACAAAACAATATACAAATAAAAAACATTCAAACTGAGTTTTTAAAAATGTATAACAATTTAATTTGTTACTGAATTACTTAAAAAATACAATTTTAAAAAGGAAAGTAAGATTTCAGTAAATTAAGAAGGGTATAAAAATAAGTCTGTTCTCTCACTGGGTGAGGGGCTGGAGTTCTGTGCTCTAGATCCCAAATCCTGCATTCTCCTATCATTGTAAGTCACTCTGGATAAGAGTGTTTGCTAAATATGTAAATGTAAAGGACACTGAAGTCAGCATTTGACAAGAGCAACTGGAGCAGCCCTGCTACTAGAGATGGAACCACAGTTTGCACACAGTGATTCTGAATGAAATTGACTTTTGACTTATTACTTTGTCTAATAAATAATTACTCTCTCAATCTGAATGCATAGATATCTCTATTTAAATATACATCCAGCATAAATATATTGTCTTAATGTTGGCAAAAATCATGTCAAAATGCCCTTTTCTCTAACAGATTACCAAACACATCATTTTTAATAAACTGGACATCCACAATCCCTTTAAAAATATATAGTAACACTTTTATTCCAGGCTCTACAGGCAATATAGACGTTACAACCAAAATATTTACATGATATGTACATCTACAGACAACAGAGTAGAAAATAAACAACACAAAACAAGATCTTCATTTCACTCCATCAGCTGAGGCTCTCCAGACTGATTTACAGGATCTGGAGAAACACAGAGCAAAGAAACACAAATTAAATGAAAGAACAATAATTATAAAACACAAACATTTACTCTATAAAGAGGAAAAGAGTACATTTAATGGAGTTATGAGATGAATAAATTTGAAAGGAGCACCACGTCTGAAGCTCCTCCTCCTACAATCTAACTTCCTTTAATTTCCATTTATACCTTCAGTTTTCTGTGAGGAAGTGTTCACACCCATGTTGTATGTCAATCAGCTCTGCTGCCGTCTTCTCTCACCACTCATCATCACTTCTGATCCATATCGACTGTACTGTAGCTGAGAAATATTAAATATAAAGGAAAGGTTTAGTGTGCCACATGTGCCTAAATTCACTTCAGTTAGTTTATGCTTTCCTGTTTTCTAATAAATAAATACATAGCTCTAAGGCCAGAGTGCAAGATGTGGACGGCCAGGTCACATGCAAAAATATAAAGTGTAACAGAGTATTATTGCTCACAGTCTTGCAGAATATGGCAGCATTAATCTGACAATTAGACATGACACAATAAAGAAGATCAAATTTGCATGAATTACAAGTAGCTTACCATTTAATTTGCTTCAGAATCTTAAATCTAGCTAATCTACACATCTGTTTAAATTAAATGACTTCTTACTTAATTATTTAAGTAATGAGATTGTTTAGATTTAAAGTGCTGTGTAAAAAACGGAGACTAAATACTTGTGAAAAACTATTTACGAGACAATTCTGGATACTATACTATATGTAGTAAATACTGTATTATATTTAGGAGACAATTCTGGAGAAGATCAGTCTTCTAAAGCACGAGCTAAAACATTCTGTCCTTTAACATGGTGAGTAAGTAGATAATAATAATAATAATCGTAATAATAATTATTATTATCATCGCTTCTTCTTAGTACCTACAGTTGGGGACAGTTTTACAGTTCTGTTCTTGGCAGTCAACATGTATTAGTGTGAAAAATGTCTCCATACCCTCAGGGCCCTAATCTGTCCTTGGCTTCATTCTGACTCTGCACTCGAACAGCAAGAATGGTTATACTTTTTCGCAACTCTCACAAAGGAGATGTTTCTTCAGGTCTCAGCATCTGAAGAGCAGAAACCAGAGACTCCACTGCACTTCCACTGACTCTTAGAGCTTCCTTGGATAACACAGTGATATCAGTCTTACTTGGCTCTTCCTTGTTATCTTTGATAATTTCTGCAATAACAATGTCACCAAAATGAGTTAACAGAGCTCTGGCCAATTGATAATGGAACCTGAATAGCTACATGCCCCTGGCTCTACCTACATATCAGGAGATCAACTCCTGTCCATCTCTCAGAGGGAACTCCTGTGCCATTATCTGCAGAATTTATGAAAGGATGATTAGTAAATAGGACATTGAGAGGCTGTAATTTGAGCCCCTCAGTAATTTGGATATGACACCAATCATCATTTACCTCTGAGTTGTGCTGCACTTTTTCTAGGAGCTTTGGACATTTTAACTTGATGTAAATGCTGATGTAAATATCTGGTTGCTAGACTAAATGCAGGGATGTAATCATAGTGCTGTGAAATAAATGTCTGTATGGTTTCAACATCTTTAACATTTGCGGTTCTGTATGTAAGAAGTTGACCCTGTGAGACTCTCATGTCAACTTTTCACAGTGTGAACTATTTTTGTTGCACTAAGCAAACAAATGGGTTAAAAAGGCCGTGTAGTACTCATGAAACAGGACAATGAACAAATTGTAATATATTCTTACACACATAATCCATCCTTCCAAATAGTCCCATAAAATACACAAACACCAGAATTCCAAAGTGGGATTGAGACATAAACACAAGATTTCTAACCTTATGAAGCTGTCTATGAAATAATTAGCCTTTCCATAATGACAGTGGTATATAATTTACAATCTCACAGCTTGTAAAGTTGTAATTTATAAAAATTAGGTAATACATAAGTACATTTTACTCAGTTAAGTCTCCAGTCTTCTTTTATTCTTTTGTGTTCATTCAGTTCTTCTGGTTCTAATCAATATCATATTAAACACTTAAGGACATTTTAATGGTTCTGATGAAGAGATATTGTGGTTAGTTTAAAAACAAAACACTACTGCATGAAACAGATCATAAATAGAATCAAAGAGTTTTTGAGGTCTGAATTTGTTTTTGAGTTTGAGAAAAGATAGATGTACAGTTATAATAATAACAAAGGGCCTTATTGATGATGATGATGATGATGATGATGATTATTATTATTATTATTATTATTATTATTATTAGCGATAAACCATATCTGCCCAAAACAATATTCCATTATTTTGTCTGTGCATTTATTAATTAACATCACTGTCTTTCAGTGTAATAAGCGCTTCAGTCATTATTCCTCATTATCAGATTCTGTTAACCCTTTTGTATGTTCAAGTTTTATGTATACTTGCCTCAAAAATGTTAGCAATAAGCCATTTCAGTGTCCTCAGCAGTCACTACATGAGAAAATAAACACTCTCCCACAAAGTGTTGCAAAAACCGTTTACATTTCTTAACGCTTATGTGGTGTTGGGGTCTGTGGGACCCATTTTCAATGTTTACCAAAAGTAAAAATGATGCGATTTATTATTATTTCATCCTCAGATTCCTTGGCTTTTGCTCATTTTCTGTGAAGAACACAGAAAATAATAGTGATACATTCTCAATGACTTCACACTGTTCACCCCCTACACAATTATATTACACATGTGGTGCTGAGGTGAACCCATGGGGAATAAAAGTGTGGAGGTGCTGTGTCCTTCACTCTGTTCTCCTCCTACATGGCCTGCTGTTAGTGTGTGTGTGTGTGTGTGTGTGCGTGTGTGCCTGTGTGTGTGTATGTGTGTGCATGTGTGTGTGTGAGGGTGGACAACGTGGACAGACTGCTGACTGGCTACTGCTGCTAAAGGAGAACCCTACACTGGACACTTGTGATATTTTAAACATCTGGTATTTTTATGTAAATTGTTATGGCTGTATTGATAAAAACAGTAATGCGGTGGATTCACCAGACCACTGAGTAACAAAAATGTGAACACCACATAAGAGTTAAACACATTCTGTTCAAATGAAGTGTTTCAAAGCTATGAGTGGTGTAGTTAACAGAAATTCTATGTCACTAAAATGCATATAAATTGAAATTTTGAGTCACAATCACCTGATTTGATAAAATTAGCTGTTATTTGATTAAAACAGTATTGATCTGATGAAATATGAAACGTTTTATCATTCATCATGTAGGTGGTTTTGTATGAAGGTGAAAATATTCCAGA